CGCGCCCCCCTCCTCCGCGTCGAGGAACCACCGGCCGTGCGCGTCCCCGGGCTTGCGTGCGCGCCCCTGGCGGCGCAGTCGCGAGCGCGCCGCGCGCCCGCCGCCTCCTCCCTGCCCCCGCCCAGTCCCAGGCCTCTGCATTCCCGGCCCTGTCCGCGCGCCCGCCGTCATCGCCTGTGCCCTTCCCCCGGCCCTGTGCGCGAGCCCGCCGCGGCCCCTGTAACCGAGGACGCAGAAGATGGGGCCGAGCCCTTGTCTGACTTCTGCGTCCGACCAGTAATCGCCCTTCCGGGGGGGTCGCGTGGCCGGGCGCCAGAGGCTTTCCGGTGCTTGGTGCCTTTGATCCTCTGGAGTGCGGTGAGGCGGGCCGGGCCAGTACTGTCTGGGTGTTGTGATGGCATTCTCACCCCACCACTGTTGCGTCAGGGGACATTGAGGCTGAGAGTTTGGGCCCAAGAAAGCCTCTCCAGTCCCGACCTCGCAATGCTGTTCATGGATTAACCAGACTGACTGAATGGCTTAAGGGGTGAAGAGGGTACGTTTCATTCAGATGCTTCTGGAACGTCGAAATTGTCTTCTTTGGGAAGAACCATCCCCTCTTTGGGCTTCAGAGGCCCAAACTGAGGTGCAATGATGAAAGGATGTGGTGGTCCACTCTGATGTCAATCTTGAGGGCTAGGTATGTCCCAACATCTCTTATTACTACTGCTAATGATTATTCTAATAGCTATAATTTGTGGAGTACTTATTGCATGCCAGACATTGTGCAAAGTAAGTTACACATATGGCCTCATTTATTATAAGTGGCTTTTTGAGATAGGCACTATTATCCCCTTATTTCAGCAGAGGTATGTAAATATTGTAACTTGGGATCACACTGCTAGAAAGTGTTGGAGAAGGGAATACAAACCAGGGTGTCTCATAGCCAGTATGCTGTTACAGGAGTCAACCTGTGGTATAGTGGTTAAAGTGCTAGATTCACACATGGCCAACTGCTGTTGGACTCAGGGACCAGAGGCTTGAAACTCATGCGGGGCTGGTGTGCATGCATGCCCAAAATCCTGATAGGAGAATGGAGAAGGAATTGCTGCGGGGCCATCCACCCTCCCACATCTCCACCACGGATGATGTCTCTCTCTCTCTCTTTCTGGCAAGCACACACACCCAATAGCAAAAAACTCTTAAAAAAAGTTATTATAACTATATTTAGAAGGTTGTCTTTGATAAATTTGCCCAGCCTCTTTTAGAATTTATTTACACTTTCTGCCTGTGTGGCCCCCTTCTTCTTTTTTTGGTGTGTAAGTAATGCAAGTTCCTTGTTAAAAAAAGAAAGAAAGAAAGTGAAAAAAAGAAAAGAGGAAAATTCACAAGAGCAAAAAATAATGTAAAAACTATTTGCTTAAATAAACAGTCAACATGTTGGTATACTTCTAGCCATTTTCCTGTGCATTATGTCAATACATATAAGGTGTTTTACATTTGTTGTATCCTGAAACATCTATTTATTCATTCATTTATTCAACAAATATTTAATGAGCCATCACTGTCATAGGTGCTAGGAATTCAGCAGTAAACAAAGCAAAGTATCTGCCTGATAATTCATAGTGGGGGACAATGACAATAAGCAACACACATACTAAATAATAGATGATGCTGATTAATGTGGCAAGTTTTATGGAAAAATAAATAAAACAGGGTAAAAGCATAAGAGTGATACAGGGATTTCCTTTTGGTGAGAGGAGACAAGGAAACTCTCTTAGCAGAAGAGGCATATAAGCAGAAATCTAATTATTTAATGAGGGAGGGAGCTCTGTGGGTTTCTACCGGGAAACTCTTCTAGAAGAGTAACAGGAAATGAAATGCCTCTTGCTGTTTGGCATGGGAAGGAAACAGGGAGACCAATTTTACTGGATCGCAGCAAATTAGACAAATAAAATGGAACACAGCCAGAAGCCAATCATGTATCATTTGGTAAGCTATTGTTGGACTTTGAATTTTATTGGGATGTGATAGAATACACGAAGGATTGAGACCAAAGGAGTAATTACATTTGCTTTAAAAGGATCATTTGGTAGGACCAGCAGTTGGCATAATGGCTATGGCACTGGACTCCCATGTAGTTGACCGCGGTCTGGGTCCTGGACCCAGTGGCTTAAACTCACACCGGGCATGTGTACATTGTGTGCCCAAGATCCCGAGAGGAGAATGGAGGAGTAAGGATTGAGGCATGGCCATCCCCCTGGGGATGATTTCTCGCTTTCTGTCTTTGTCTCTTGAGCAAGTGCACTCACCCTATAGTAAAAATCTCTCAAAAAAAGTCTTTTGGGGCTGGCAGGCAGCGTGGTGGTTAAAGGCACCGAACTCCCACATGACTGACCATGGTTCAAGTCCCGGACCTGACGGCTTGCTTTCTCATTCCCCCCACACGCACTCTGTCCTTCTCCGGTCAAATTTAAATAAATAAATAAATTTAAATAAAATAATTCTAAAAAAAAAAGTCCTTTAAAGTATAAATGTTGAGGGGAACCAGCAGTTAGTGTAATGGCTATGTTGCTGAACTCCCACGTAGTCGACCGCGGTTCGCGTCCCGGACCCGGTGGCTTAAAACTCACGCCACGTGCATGTGACTGCGTGCCCAAGATCCCGAGAGGAGAATGGAGGAGAAGGGATTGCGGCGTGACCATACCCCCTGGGGGGTGATTTCTCACTTTCTGTCTCTCTGTCTCTGTCTGTCTGGTGAGCGCTTGTGACCCATAGCGAAAATCTCTCCAAAAAAAAAAAAAAGTATAAATGTTGAGCACAACACTTGTTTAAAAGATAGCTTGTCAACATTGGTGTTTTACGTATACCTTTACATCTCTCTTTTAAAGGTTTATGTATTTTATCTTTTTTATGTGAAAGAAAGAGAAACAGACACCCTCAACAGGGACTTACCACACCATGATTCCACTCCCCGCAGCCTTTCAGCCCTTCAACTAACCAGGATCACAGTTACATGAATGTGTACTGGCACTCCTGGTATTGATCAGGCATCTGAACCATGGTCTAACATGTAGTTCCAATGTCAAGAATGGTGCCCCATCACATGTGCCACCATGGCCCACATTTACACCTTTACAACAACTCTCAACTTCTTGACGAAGTGAAGATAAGGTCAATCACTCAGGACATACCTTTGTGTTCTTCTCACCTAAACTGAATATTTCTGAGATGGGCTAGGGCATATAACCAGATCTGCATGTTGGGATTGTTGAAAAACTGAATTTGAGTCATCAATGCTGTACTCTTTTGGAAAAAACAATCCCACATAATAACGAGGTCTGTTAATTAAAAACAACATTCAAGCATCTGCAAATTACAAATGATGTTAGCCCTTCCTAAAACCAATTTAGTCAGTGTGCTTAAGACATGGAGACATTGGGACCAGAAGATGGCATAATGGTTACATCACTGGACTCCCACATAGTGGACTGAGGTTCGAGTCCCAGACTTGGTGACTTAAAACTCATGCTGGGTGCATGTGCATGTGTGCCCAAGATCCCTATAGGAAAATGGAGGAGAAGGGATTGTGGCATGGCCATCCCTCTGGGTGGTGATTTCTCACCTTATGTCTCTGTGTCTCTCTGACTCTCTGGTGAGCACACATGCCCTATAGCAAAAAATCTTTGTTAAAAAAAAAATCCTTAAAAAAAACTCACAGTGAGAAAAAGGATAACACTGATTAAGGGAGCACATTTCTGGGGTTTTCCCTTGAGCACTGTAGAGGAGAGTGACATTAGCTTATGGAAGAACAGACTTAAGAGGAGAGATTTAAGGTTCTGTTTTGGATCTGTGTTTTGTACTCTGATTGTATGACAAATATGAGTCTAGTGCTCACAGCTAGACTTAAAACCAGACCTGTCTACAGCAAAGGAAACACAAAGTGAAGAGACAGCTCATGGAATGGGATAAAATATTTGTGAACTAAGTTTCTGGTAAGAAGTTTGTATCTAAAACATAAGAAGATCTCAAACAACTCAATAGTAATAAAACAAATAATTCAATTTTTTAAATGGGCAAATGACCTGAAAAGACATTTCTCAAAAGAAGACATATAAATGGCCAACCGATATATGAAAAATATTCAGCATCATTAATCATACGGGAAATGCTAATTAAAGCTACAGTGAGATATAACCTCACATCTGATAGGATGGTTATTATAAAAAAGATAAGAGATAAACATTGGTGAGGATATAGAGAAAAGGAAACCCTTGTGTACTCTGGTGGGGATGTAAATTAGTACAGACATTATGGAAACAGTATAGAGATTCTTTTTAAAAATTAAAATTAGAACTATTGGGACCAACAGATGGCATAATGGTTATGTTGCTGGGCTCCCACATAGTCGACCATGGTTTGAGACCTGGCCCCAGTGACTTAAAACTGATACTGTGGAACAGGGACAGGAGGTGGCATGATGGTTGAAGTGCTAGACTCCTACATGGCCGTCCATTGTTCAAGTGCCGTCCATTGTTCAAGTCCCAAACCTGGTGGCTTGCTTTCTCATTCTCCCTTTCTGTCTGCCTCTGGTCAAAATTGAAGAATAATGATAATAAATTTAAAAATTAAAAAATAAATAAATCTTATTTAAAAAAACCTGATACTGGGGGGCCAGCAGATAGCATAATGATTACATCACTGGATTCTCACATGGCCAACTGTGGTTCAAGTCCTAGACCTAGAAGCTTAAAACTCACACCTGGTACATGTGCATGCGTGCCCAGAATCCCGAGAGGAGAATAGAGGAGAAGGTATTGTGGCGTGGCTATCCCCCTGGAGAGTGATTTCTCACTTTCTATCTCTCTGTTTCTCTCTGTCTCTCTAGCAATTGCACACACCCTAAAGCAAAAAATATCTCTCAGGGAAAAAAAAAAAAGATATATGACCCAGGAGTTCCACTTCTGGGTATATATGCAAAGGAGACGAAATTGGCATGTTGAAGAAATATCTGCACTTGGTTGCAGCATTATTTACAATCGCTAAGGCATAGAAACCACTTAAGTGTCCATTGGCCAATGAATAAAGAAAATGCAGTATAGGGCCAGTAGGTGGTGTGATAGTTGCAGTGCTGGATCCCATATGGCCAACTACATGGTTTGAGTCCTGGACCCAGCAGCTTGAAAAACACACTGTGTATCAGTGCATGTGTGCCCCAAATCCCGAGAGGATAATGGAGGAGAAAGGATTATAGCAAAGCCTTTCTTATTGGAGGATGATTTCCTCACTTTCTCTTTCTTATCCAGTCTCTCTCTGCCAACCACATGCACCTTATAACAAAATACTAAAATTAAAAAAATTTTTAAAAAGGCAATATATATACATAGTGGAATATTATTTGGCCTTTAAAAAGAAGGAAATTCTGTCATTTGTAATAGTAAGGATGAACCTACAGGTCATTATGCTAAATGACATAAACCAAGCACAGAAAGACAAATACTGCATGATCTTCCTTGTACCTGGAATCCATGAAAGTCAAACTTAAAAGAGACAGTGTAGTGTGCTTGCTTTGGCAGCACATATACTAAAATTGAAATGATACAGAGATGATTAGCATGGCCCCTGTGCAAGGATGATACGCAAATTTGAGAAGCATTTTGTATTTTTTTAATGGCAAAAGTCTCAAAAAAAAAAAAAAAAGAAAGAAAGAAAGAAAAGAAAGAAAGAGAGAAAGAAAGAAACAGTGTAGAACCTTGGTTACCAGGGCAGAGACTATGAAGATGTTAGTCAAAAGATACAAACATTGCAGTTAGACTGGAGGAATGCTTTCAGGAGAACCATTGTATAACATAGTGACTATAGTTAATAACATCTATCAGATACTTAAAATTTGGTAAAAGAGTAGACTGTAAATGTTCTTACTACCAAAACAATAATAAGTGTGTGTGAAATAATGGATATATTAATTAACTGGATTTATCCATTCTACAATATATACATATATCAAACCATCATGTGGTACACCATAAATATACGATTTTTACTTGTCAGTTAATAAAATGGATTTTGAAAATAGATATGCCATTGGTTAAATAAGTAAGTAAATAAAAGATGTATGAAGTAGGGCCAGCCTATGGCCTGGTGGTTTAGGCAGCTGGATCTCACATGGCCAACTGCTTGGTTCAAGTCCTGGACCCCGTAACTTGAAAAACACTCCAGGTGCATGTACGTGTAAGCCTAAAATCCCAAAAAGGAGGGAGCTATGGACGAGAAGGGATTGCTGCATCACTCGCCCCACAGGGAGCCAGCTAGTTTTAAAACATGGTGATTAAAGTGCTGGATCGCACATGACTAACTACATGGTTTGCTTCCTGAACCCTGCATCTTGAAAACTGCAGGGTAGAGAACAGCAGTTAGCATAATGGCTATGTTGCTGAACTCCCATGTAGCAAACCGCAGTTCGAATCCCAGACCCAGTGGCTTAAACTCACGCCAGGTGCGTATGCGTGCATGCCCAAAATCCCAAGAAGAGAATGGAGGAGAAGAGGTTGCGGCGTTGCCATCTCTGGGGGGTGATTTCTCGCTTTCTATCTCTCTGTCTCTGTCTTTCTGGCGAGTGCATGCACCCTATAGCAAAAACCTAAGAAGAACGCAGGGTATATGTGAATGCATGCCCAAAATCCCAAGTGGAAAATGGAGGAGAGAAATTACAGCATAGCCATTCTCTCTGTAAGGTGATTTCTCAACCTCCCTCACAAGTCTACCTCTAGCAAGCAAACATACCCTGTAACAAAAACTTTAAACATAAAAAATAATAATAATAAAATAAAAACTATGCACCATAGGGGGTGCTTCTTCACTTTCCCTTTCTGTCTCTCTTTTTCTCTCTGGTGAGTGTATGCACCGTCTGACAAAATTTAAAAACAAACAAACAAACAAACAAAAAAAAAACACCGAAAGAGTTAGCAGGTACCAGGATTTTCATAATGCCATTGCCATTAAGCAGAGTTGTTGCCCATTTCTTGTACACCTTCATTGCCTCCCTGACTTTGTTCTCGTCTCCACAAACTGGAGAATATCTGTCTCACGAGTCATTAGGTTTTGGGTAGAATCCAAAAAGTTAGGTGAACTATTAGATCTTCAGAAAAGTCATGATGTGTTTTTCTATACAAAAATGTGTCATAACTTTTCCAATGACCCAAGAGAAGTGTGCTGTTGCTAAGTGGCTCTGTTTATCAGAAAATTTAGAAATGCCTAATAGGCAGCCTGGCTGCATACTTTTCAGCATGATATACAGGGCCTCCACCTTTTGACTGTCAAACAGGCCCCTAAAGTATTTTGCATCATCTGGTTACAGGCAATCTATATACTCTTGCAACCAACAAGTGCCCTATAAATGTTTGAGATATTTGTAAGGAACCTGGAACATTTTAATATACGTCATTTTAAAAGCATGGGCTTTGGGCCAGCCCGTGGCATGGTGGTTAAGGTGTTTAGATCCCACATGGCTGACTGTGTGGTTCAAGTTTCGGACCCAGAAGCTTGACAAACATACTGGGTACATATATATGCATGCCCAAAACTGAAAGGAGAAATTGAGAAGGTATTGTGGTGCAGTCATCCTTTATGGGGGGGTGTTTTCTCAATTTCTCCCTCCCCATCACCCTCCTTCTCCCCAACTCCCGACAGCATGCATATGCACTCTCTAGCAACATTTTTTTTTAAACAGCACAAGCTTTGGGACCAGCAGATGGCATAGCAGTTACACAGCTGGACTTCCACATAGTTGACTGCAGTTCAAGTCCCAGACCTGGTGACTTACTTAAAACTCATGCCAGGTGTGTGTGTGTGTGTGTGTGTGTGTGTGTGTGTGTCCATGATCCTGAGAGCTGAGAGGAGAGAAGGGACTGCGGCGTGGCCATTCCCCTGGGGAGTGATTTCTCACTTCTCACTTTCTATCTCTTTGTCTGTGTCTTTTTTTTTTTTTTTTTCTGTCTGTGTCTTTAGCAAATGAGTCTTAAACCAAAAATCTCTCTCAAAAAGCAAAAACAAAAACAATACATGAGCTTTGATGGTTTTTTGAGTTTGAGCCTAATTTCCACCCCTTACCACCTTCAAGAATTAAAGTTAGTGGGGACCAGCAGGTGGCATGGTGGTTAAGGTGCTGGACACTGCCACATGGCTGACTGAGGTTCAAGTCCTGAATCTGGTGGCTTGCTTTCTCACTTCCTCTTTCTCTCACTCTCACCCTCTGTCTCTGTCTGATCAAATTAAAAAATAAATGAATGAATAAATAAAAAATAAAATAGATAATTATTTTTTAAAAAGAATTAAAATTAGTTACTATCTTTCTGTGTCTCTTTTCTTCTTATATATACATATCTACTGAGAATTTTGTAAGGGTGTGATGATGTATGTATATATGTATAGTACCTATACATATATTTGACTTTGTGGTGGAAGTAAAATAAATTATAATTGTAACTTTAATTCTAGAAATGCTCCCCAGTATGACCCAGTACTAGTCTAGAAGCTGTTCTAGACTATGTTGACTACTGTTCAGCATTAGAATTTTTTCATTATTTAGATCAAGAAAGCCTGTTTCCTGGAAATCCATAAGTTTCCTGAACAATAGGCAGTTCCACAGTTTGTTTTGCTGCCTGCTTCTTCAGCATTTTCCTCACTATAGAAAAGTGTACATTATCTCAAAGATTACAGGACAGGGGCCAGTATTTACCATGGTGGTTAAGACACTGGACTTCCACATAGCCGACTGTGATTCGAGACCCAGGTCTGGCAGCATGCTTTCTCACTTTCTCTCTCTCTCTTTGTCTTTCTCTGGTGAGAGCACATGCCCTATAGCAAATTTAAAAATGCCAACAATAATAAATAAAATTTAATAATTCTTTAAAAAAAAAAATCACGGGGCAAATGCCTCATTGCAATCTAGAATGAATCAGCCAGCCTCGCCTTAAATGGAGAATAAACTCAGGAGCTATGTACTATTTAATTAATGTAAATAGTTATGCAATATGAGCAATTAACTATCAGACTGTTCCTTAGAGTACAGAGTGAGTACTTTGCTATTGTAATCAAGTAAAGCTTACAACAAGGTTAATCTGATGCATATTTAATGACATATGTAATTGTTATGGTGCTGCATAATAATTAGGCATTAAATGTTAAGCTGTTTGCATAAATGACTGTAATTGGTTATTTTTACACAGCCAAACACATTTTTTAGTGTTTGTCTGCTTGTTTTATTAATTTTCTAGAATCTATAATCATGCCAAGGACAAGTTTTCTCTAAAACCCTTTACTATTTAATCATGTACTCACACAAACACTCTTTAAAATAACACAGCAGGGTTCCCTTCCCAAATCTGTACTAAAAATAGCTACTGTTCAAGGCTCTCTGTATGTATTCTCTCATTTTAGTCCCTAAGAAACTCTCCAAGGAAAGTGTTATTGACTCCCATTTTGCTGATACGGAAATGGATACTCAGAAACATGAGCAGACAACGACATAGTAGAGATTCAAACTTCTACCCAATCCTTAACTACTACTTTATACAACCACAGAAGGTAAAAGCAGCGGTACTAGTTACTGTAGAAGATAAAATGTCTCTGAGAAATACAGAACATTTTAGCATATCCAAAGGGAGAATGAGTGGACCTGAAAGGAGGAGGGGTTAGTGTCAGTAATGGAAGAATGGAAGCCTGTGAAGCATCTTACAGCCCATTCAAGGAAGAGAGGCTTGGCTAGTGAATTTCAAGCATTATTGCCCCATTACAGCTGACTGTACTGTAGCAATACTCCATCAACCTAATGCCATCAACTGCTTGAATTAAACAAAATTTTTTTCTTTAATTGGCATAGGGCTTGCCAAAGAAGTAGAAAGCATCTCCCAGTGTTGGGTGTGGTTATGCCACAATCCATTTTCCTCCAGTTCTTCCTCCAGTCAAGATTTTGGCCACATGCACACACGTGTATCCAGTGTGTTTTCTATTTCTTTCTTCCTTTCTTCCTTCCTTCCTTTTTCTTTTTTTAATAATTATTTATTTTAATTGTATTTATTATTATTATTACTTTAATTCACCAGGGAGAGACAAATAAAGGGAAACTGAGAAAGCAAGCCACAAGATCTGGGACTCAAACTGTAGTTGGCCATGTGGGAGTCCAGCACCTCAACTACCACACCACCTGCTGGCTCCTTTAGTGTGTTTGTCTAGCCACTGGGGCTAATTTGAACTGCAGTTGGCCACATGGGATCCAGGTTCCCAATGCACAGTGTTTAACCACTGCACATTCTGGCTAGACCAGAATTTTTTTTTTTTTTTTTTGGAGAGGTTTTTCGCTATAGGGCGTGTGCGCTCGCCAGACAGAGAGAGACATAGAGACAGAAAGCGAGAAATCACCCCCCAGGGGGCATGGTCATGCCGCAATCCCTTCTCCTCCATTCTTCTCTCGGGATCTTGGGCACACACGCACATGCGCCCAGCGTGAGTTTTAAGCCACCGCGTCTGGGATGCGAACCACGGTCAACTACGTGGGAATCCAGCGACATAGCCATTATGCTAACTGCTGATTCCCAAGACCAGAATTTTTTAAATTTAGAACTGACTTCCCTTATTCTGAGTCCTTAATAAAAATCATTGTAAGGGTT